TGGAATTACTACGCGTGGGGTTACGACGCATGGAACTAACTACGCGTGAGATTACCACGCCTGGAAGTACTACGCGTGAGATTACCACGCATGGAGTTACTACGCATGGAACTACTACGCATGGAATTACTACGCGTGAGATTACTACGCATGGAAGTACTATGCGTGAGATTACCACGCATGGAATTACTACGCGTGAGATTACTACGCATGGAAGTACTATGCGTGAGATTACCACGCATGGAATTACTACGCGTGAGATTACTACGCATGGAAGTACTATGCGTGAGATTACCACGCATGGAATTACTACGCGTGAGATTACCACGCATGGAATTACTACGCGTGAGATTACCACGCATGGAATTAGTACGCGTGAGATTACCACGCATGGAGTTACTACGCATGGAACTACTACGGGTGGAATTACTACGCGTGAGATTACGGCGCATGGAACTACTACGCGTGAGATTACCACGCATGGAATTACCACGCGTTAGATTAGTACGCGTTGGACTACTGCGCGCTGAATTATATACTGATATACTTTATAAATTATTATACACTGTGTTATATATTATAAATCATTATGTACTGTATTATATATTATTTATAATTTATATGTCTACAAATTACATGTGTAATATAAATATAACAAGCGTAATAAAATGGAGGTGTACCAGAAGCCAGGTAGCAGCATCGCTAATTAAATTCGCAGAGTAACAGCGTAACAAAATGGTGGAACACGTGCTGTCGGTGGGCAAACAAAATAAAAAGGATTAACATGAAATTCAGCGGGCACAATGGCCAATATAAAGCGAATATCCCAAGGGACCGAGAGGCGGAGAGAGCATCTATGGTGTCGCACGTCGGATTTCTTGTCGTCGAGTGACCCGTTCTCTAAGAGATCCTCTACTGGTCTCCTTTTTTTTATTTACTTTTCTTTAGCTCGTTCTTTTCCACGTTGTCGTATCCTACGCCTCCTTCGTAGGCTTTACACGATGGGAACCGGTATGACCGGAACAGGCGGAATTCTTTCTATGACTGTCAAAACAAGTCCAACGACGCGATTCGACGATTTAACAAACTCGTCTCGTCCGCTCTAATTAATCATACACAGGTTGTACTACATTTCGTCGCGTGTACGGTAGGCAAAAATCCGGCCGGACACGACACGCGATACCAGTGAAATCGGTGAAAATTTCAAACGGTTATGCTTTGAATTCATAAAAGCTCCTTTATCGCGGGTACTGTGTTTTCAGAATAATTTATAGGAACAACCGTGGCGAGCTATTAGAGATTCTTCACGCTCCATTTCAATTAATTCAAAAATATGAACGGACACGAGAGTGCAGAATATTCCACGAACAGTAAATTAAAACAGCATCTCTGATAAAATAGCGTATAATTGTGCGAAAGCACGGAGTCGCGTTAAAGCGCAGACACGTTCAAATTATACAGGTTTTAATTCTGATAGAATACTTACCGGGAAATCGCGAAGGTGACAAAATAAAATGAGTAGAAAGGATGCGATTGTTTCCCGCCTGCTGCGAATCGCAACGCCACGTTGCGTAACGCGGCAACTTGTTCCGCACAACGTGCTCTCGATTGTATCACTCGATTTATCGATCGGACACAAGGCGGACCACTGATTCGCGTGCACAAGGTGTCACGAAACACCGGGGAAAACAATCCATTCGTTAGCGAACTGTGACCGCGGACAAGACTGAAAAACAAAACGAGAGCGCGACGACAAACCTTCCGCTACGACGGCTGGAGCGCGACTGACTGACCGAGCCGGCTTACCGCTGCAAACGCGGCCTCGAGTTTCGAATTACGCGCGGCTTCACACACCCGCTCCCTCGGAGAAAATGAACCTGCTTGTTATATTGCACCTTTGTGTCTCAATTTCGAAGGATTTCTTCGTTTAGACCTTCAACTGATGGATGACAGCTAATGTTTTGCTGATTGGCATTAATGGTGCCACTGATTTATATTGGCGTATTGGGAGCAGTTATTGGTGTTCTTATTCGTATTCGGATATTGGTCAATGTTGAAGTTCGTGTTTTATGTTCATATTGGTATATTGATAGTTATATTGGTATACTAATAAGGATATTGGTATATTTATATATGTATTGATATTGAGATTGGTGTCATATATTGATATTGATGTATTAGTATTGATATATTGATATTGATGTATTGATATTGATATACTGATATTGATGTATTGATATTGATGTATTGATATTGATATACTGATATTGATGTATTGATATTGATGTATTGATATTGATACATTAATATTGATGTATTAATATTGATGTATTGATATTGATGTATTGATATTGATGTATTGATATTGATATACTGATATTGATGTATTGATATTGATATGAATGTTTCTTTATATCAAAATCATTTAGCTGGTTGATTACATAAACTTATATTATTATTCATCAATGGTATCTATGATCATCAACATTTTAAGGAACATTTTGTATTCGCATTATATTACCACGCGTTATATCGCTACGTGCTATATCATCGCTGTACTACCAAACGTCAAATCACCAACCACTCTATTGCCATGATTCAAGTCGCTATATGCTTCTGTCTCCACCCACTACTTAGCCATGAAACATATAGTTACATAATATATCGCCACGCGTCATATATCCGCAACTGGTCCACAACTCCCCTACCAATTATACCCTAGATTAGAGTACATATTTCCGCTGTGCCGCGTTCGAGTACTTCCGTCATCGTGAGTCCCTTAATTAATATTCAAAGACAGGGGACTCCGATTTTCTATCGTCACGAGGGCCATATTTGGAAACGCCTGGACGTTGTCCATCGCGGTGCTATGGAGCTGATAGGAATCATTTGTTTACGTTGCTCAGCGTCGTGTCACGTGCTTTCGCTAATCCCTTTGTCGCTTTGTTTCGCCGCACAGTACACAGTTAACCCCGGGAACAATAGACGTTCCTACCTATATAATGGATTCATGTAGGTTGGTCTTGCCGTGGACGGTCATCTTCGTCTGCTGTCCCGTTTGCCAGTGCAATCGATCTTCCCAGCCATCAAACTGAATTGCCACCATTAAGCCTATGGAGATTTAATGACATCGTGGCGATTGAAAGAACCGGTAGTAATTTCTTTCAATCAGATATTCGCGAACGAACGATCAGTGGCAAATAATGATGATGCGCTATATTCAAATAAATTGTCATTTTTTATTAAACTATTCTGTGATTCTCGGCGATTGAGAAAAATCTGGCAATATTACGAGCGAGAAAATCACTTGAGCCTGACTGATGTACATAAAATGCTCCTTAAAACGTTGATGGTCGCAATATTCGTGGCGATATAACGAATGGCAAAATAACGCATGTAAAATTAATGCTTTGAAAGACGTGTGATGATCTAATGCACAGCAATACTAATGCATCGTGATATCAACGCGTGGCGATATAACGAATGGCGATATAACGCGTGGCGAAATAACGTGTGCTAAAATTAACGCGCCGAAATGCTAACGTGTGATGGTCTAATGCACAGCAGAGAGAATATGTCATGAATCAATGCGTGGCAATATAATGCGTGGCAATATAACGCGTGGTAATATAACGCGTGGCAATATAACGTGTGGCAAAATTAACGGGTTGAAATACTAACGTGTGATGGTCTAATGCACAGCAATACTAACGTATCGTGATATCAACGCGTGGCGAAATAACATGTGCTAAAATTAACGCGCCGAAGTACTAACGTGTGATGGTCTAATGCACAGCAGAGAGAATATGTCATGAATCAATGCGTGGCAATATAATGCGTGGCAATATAACGCGTGGTAATATAACGCGTGGCAATATAACGTGTGGCAAAATTAACGCGTTGAAATATTAACGCGTGATAGTCTAATGCACAGCAGTATGAATGTGTCGTGAACCAACGTATGGTAATATAATGCGTGGCGATATAGCGCGTGGTAATATAACGCGTGGCGATATAACGTGTGGTAAAATTGACGCGCCGAAATACTAACGCGTGATGGTCTAATGCACAGCAGTAAGAATGTGTCGTAAATTAATGCGTGGCGATATAATGCGTGGCGATATAACAAATGGCAATATAACGCGTGGTGTTCTTAAACTCGTGATTCCAATACATGGTGACACTAACACGTCAATATACAATTCGTCGCAAAAATAACGTGCGGCGATATAACGCGAGACGATATAATACAATAACCTGGAAAGGATTGATAGATCGGGTGAAATGTTACTACAGTTCGCAGAAAAGTTGTCTTTTATTACGAAATCCAATTGTGTTCATGATATCTGCATTTCGATAAAACGCGTCGTGAATTATTTACAATAAAAAGAATAATTTCATGTCGATTCAGATCGTTCGATTTCGGTCGATAGAAAAAGTGAAGTAATGAGACGAACGCTTTTTATCACGATCAAGGCCCTTTTGCATTTATTCCTTTTTTTTTATCTTTCAACACTGGCCTATTATTAGTTTTTCCTATAATTAGGTAAAACGAGCGAAACTGGTCAGGCACCCCGTGATGATTCTCGATTTACTTTGAACGACAATGGAGGAACGAGGCAAAACACGTAATCGCACAAACGTTCATTTCTATCTTTCTTTTCTTTCCGGATTTCTTTATCGCGCCGCTGTTTTTTGCCTTCGTTCCTCGAGGTACAGCATGACGCATAACATGACGAGAAACAATGATTACGATGACGACGATGATGATGACGATGAATGAAGACGATGACAAGCAACGTATGAACCATCAAGCCGAGAATCGTACGGCTCGACGCGTGTGTATCCGTACTCTATGATTATCCGTGTACGATTTTATGCAAATTCAGACGTTAACGAGTGGAAATCATATGGCGAGGTGACCCTTCGTCCGTTCCAACTTCGACGAAGTTACGATGGCGGTGCTGCAAATAAAAACAGAAACAATCTTTCATTAGGAACGGAATAAAACTTTTATTTCATTATTATTTTGTTAGCTTCTCTCGTCGAGAGAACTGTCGATGTTAACCCTCAAATGGTGACACGTTTATGGTTCAAACTCGTGGAATATGTGCAGTGATATATTCACGAATATTACTCGTTCATAGGAGATGGAATACTTTCGTATATACTCTCGTTATATTGCCGTAAATGGAGATGGAGCGAAAGGTTATTAGAACTGATAATATATTAGGTTGGTCAATGTGTGAAGTTAAAAGGATTGGTTTTGGAATGTGTGACGATGCAATTTGTGATTTAAAATGTGGCTATATAGTGTGTAGTAATGCGTGGTAATGTGCCAGGTGGCGATTTAAGGCGTAGTTATAGAATAGGTGGTGATTCTACGAATGGTGATCGCACTTGTGGTAATCTAACATGTGGGATTCCACGCGTGGTAGTCCAATGCGTTGATAATTCCACGTGTGGTAATTCAAAGCGTGATAATTCCACGCGTGGTAATTCAATACGTGGTAATTCCATGCGCGGTAATTCAATACGTGATAATTCCACGCGTGGTAACTCAATACGTGGTAATTCCACGCGTGGTAATTTAATGCATGATAATTCCACGCGTGGTAATTCAAAGCGTGATAATTTGAAATCGTAGAAGAACTCAGTACAAATTTTGTCGGGATTATCCGTGCAATCCCATCCGTTGCAGGTCAAACAGCAAACTTTCTTCCAATATGCTTATCGCGACCAGTTTCAGGATACCAATAAAACACTCGTAGCAAGCGTACACGTCGTGGACGTGCTGTTCGTTTTGTCGAGTTTCCCGTTTTGTAACAGTACCGGCTGGTAAAAGTTGCTGGCCGATTCTCGCTCCCCAATGAATACACGCTATCGATATCGTGGCTTGTTTATCGGAACTTTCCTGGAATTTTCTAGCCGGATCATCGAAAACGAACTCATCATTCGAGAAAAACCATCGTCATTGGGTGATTAAATTCAATCGTTACTACGTGTCTTCTTTGCGTTTCCTATTTGTTACTTCATGTATTACATTGTAAAATTGTAAATATTGCAAAGTAATTCTACGCGTGGTAATTCCACGCGTGGTAATTCTACACGTGGTAATTCCACGCGTGGTAATTCAATGCGTGGTAATTCCACGCGTGGTAATTCTACACGTGGTAATTCCACGCGCGGTAATTCAATACGTGATAATTCCACGCGTGGTAATTCAAAGCGTGGTAACTCCACGCGTGGTAATTCTACACGTGGTAAGTCCACGCGTGGTAATTCAATGCGTTATAATTCCACGCGTGGTAATCCAATGCGTTATAATTCCGCGCGTGGTAATCCAATGCGTGGTAATTCCGCGCGTGGTAATCCAATGCCTGGTAATTCCACGCGTGGTAATTCAATGCGTGGTGATTCTACGCGCGGTAATCTAATTCATGGAGACTCCGCACACTGTATTCTAATAAATATTACTTCGATCTACAGTATTGATGTGTTCTTGATTCCCTCAAAGATTCTCCCAAAGGTGGCAATATAACGAGAGCCATCTAAAATCAATCATAAATAGTAACAAATTGATAATTTTAGTAATCCTCAGCCATCGAAGGGTTAATGATATTTAGTCCTTTTAGATCATGTTCTCGAAGAGGCCATTATTGGTACCCCTCTTATGTCCTCAACACACTTTCGAGAATTTCTATCAATTCTACCCTGGTATCACTATATTACCATTTCACTATTTCGAGGATGTCCTATCCTCAATGTTACTACATTACAACCACTATACGTCAGTTACTATCGATTTATCAGCAGCAATTCATCAGCCGTTACGATAGCCTTGAAAGTAGACGTAAGCGGTAGAAGCTAAAGTGCTCATCTGACTAATGATAAACGTGATCGTTAGGAAGGTGACGAGTATCGATTGTGTTTCTCGTCGATCGCATTAAATGTCATCGCACGTATGGTGCATGATCGATGATGCGATTAGTCGTCTGTATCGTGACCGAGGGGCAGATACGTTTTTAGTCCTGCACACTAGAAACGTGAACCTTCATATGGACATACCGTACGTGATGAATTTCGAGCCCGTTAACGGCCGTTTGGGCTTGAAGGACAACGTGAGTCTCACTACCATAACTACCTTAGCTAGAAATCACGTCAAAATAACGAAATTAATATAACAAAGCTCGCCGATCATTTAAACGAAAATGTGGATGATCGATACGAGCATGTTTATCTGAAAGGACATAGATTGACGTCGCTTTAAAAAGAACAGTGACAGGTTTAGAGAAAGAACATGATACATCCTGAAAGTGAGAAAATGCAGATGAAAGTAATAAAAATTACCGTCAGCGGGCGCGGGTGCGGGTGCAGCCTCTGCTGGGGGCGCTGCTTCGGCTGGGGCTGGGGCTGGGGCAGCTCCTTCTGCTGGGGCTGGTGCAGCTCCTTCCGCTGGAGGTGCTGCTGGAGCTCCTTCCGCTGGTGCAGGTGCGCCTTTATTCAATCATCTCATCAAATACTTATCAAGGTTATACACGTTTTATGGATTAGCTAGAGTAGACTAGTTTAGACATTTATGGATGCAAATGATCTGTGATGCATAGTTAATCGTGGGTCTTTTCGCATTTTCTGATGTTTTTGGTTTATAGTTATTTTACGTTAATAAATAGTACCTGGATTTTCAAGTAGTTAAGTTAAATTTGCAAATTTTCAAGTTCCCAAACTATTAACCTCTCAAATTTCTAAATCTTTCACATCTCTAAATTATTTATGTTCTTAAAGTTTCAAAACCATCGAGGTTATAGTTAAATTTCTTAAATTCTCGAAACTACAATATCAAGTTTACTGCCAAATTCCTTAAATTCCCAAAACTATCAAGATTACTATCAAATTCCTTAAATTCCCAAAACTATCGAGATTACTGCCAAATTACTTAAATCCCCAAAACCATAAAGATTACTACCAAATTCCTTAAATTCACAAAACTATCAAAATTACTCCCAAATTTCTAAATCCTCAAAATTTCCTAATTCAATAGGCACAGATTCTACGCGTGGTAATCCAATGCGTGGTAGTTTTACGCGTGGTAACTCGATACGTGGCAATTCCACGCGTGGTAATTCAATGCGTGATAATTCTACGCGTGGAAATTCAATACGTGATAATTCCACGCGTGGTAATTTAATACGTGGTAATTCCACGCGTGGTAATTCAATACGTGATACTTCCACGCGTGGTAATTCAATGCATGGTAATTCAATGCGTGGAAATTCAATACGTGATAATTCCACGCGTGGTAATTCAATACATCATACTTCCGC